TCGAACGCTTCCCACGTCGCACCTCATCACCACAATGTGCCATTCGGCCTACACTACTTCAGTCACTCGTCGCTCAGAATTCACCACCATTTCCGAAACCAAAGCCTTCGCCCAAGGCTTCGCTTGCTAGACCCCCGCATCCCCTCAGACATCCAGCTCTTGCGACAGCGCCCGCTGTTCAGTAGCTGTATCATCAGAGTGCTTCGCGGACGGTCTTCTACCACGGTCTTGTTTCGGTGATTCTGCAGTTGACAGTGACTGGAGCCCGCTCTAGTCTGCACCTGGCAGCTTTTCGACCACTTGACACTGCTCGAATCCTACTTCCACTTGCGACTCGTCAAACCCTACCAACCTCCTACGTATACGTTCCGCCTTCGAAACCTACCCTCTCCCAGCTCTTCAGACCGTTAGACCGCTTCCGTCACACCACGATCACACACGATCAGGCCACTTGACGGACGAGATTTCGCGATCGAGGAAAAGATCCCAACAAGGGAACAGCGTCTCGAATTATACGTCAGAGGTCACAGGGTTGTCCTCTACGGTTTGTCCCATCGGTTAAGTTCTCGGTCACCCCACGACCACCCGATCACGCTCTGCGCCACCCCTCCAGGTCTACCTAACGGTCAGCACTTCGAGACGTAACGACAAAGCCTAGTCCCATCTCCGCTCACTCCTTATTGTCTACCTTTCCTTACCAGGCCCCGTCCTGTATACCCCTCCTTCACCATGAGTCTTGCCATTCCTCTCCCTAGCCACGGCTACATGGCTGAGACCCACCCTTATGCCGCTCCTCTTTCTTCTTCCGCTTCCTCTTCCACCTCCTCAGTATTCTCAGACGCTGCGTCACAAGCGTCAAGCGCAAGCTCCACATCGTCTCACTCAAACTGGGACTCAGAAGAATGGAGTCGCAACCAAGTGGCACCGCCGACAATTGTCGACCCTGTGAGCTTGTCAGCTTTCCAGCCCATCAGCCGAGTTAGCACATATCCTCAGTACCAGTCTACGGTGTGCCGAGAGCCTGTACAGGAGAGATTACCTTCCCTGCGCACTGAGCTGTTGGCACCTCTGGAGCAGCGACAGAATCCTCGCCGATCGTCGACCACTGTCAACCAGAAGCCCCCACCTCAATTGGTACGGCAATCCGACCGAAAGGTCAACTTCGTCGATTGCCTCGTCGGTTAGTACACGTTTTATCCCTGGACCATGGTTCCCCCGCTGATTATTCCTCCTTAAGATTCCGCTACTCAGATGGTCGAGGTCATCTGGCAACTTTCAGAGCCCAAGAGCCGTTGTGAGAATGCTTCTGGACGTGGAGTGCTTCCTCTCCGCATGTTCATCCAGGAGACCCTCCGTCGCTCTCGCACCAGCTACTCTACTCTCCAAGTTGCCTTGTACTACTTGATCTTGATCAAGCCTCACCTGCCCAAGCACGACTTCACCATGTCCCAGCCTGAAGACGCATCTCTTCGTGCGCTGCAATGTGGTCGTCGCATGTTCCTTGCTGCGCTTATCCTCGCATCCAAGTACTTACAGGACCGCAACTACTCGGCTCGCGCATGGAGCAAGATCTCTGGTCTCAAGGTTTGCGAAATCAACACCAACGAGATGGCTTTCCTCGAAGCTGTCAACTGGAAACTGCACATCGTTGATTCGGTATGGGAGAAGTGGCAAGAAGTCGTCCTGCGACACACGCCTACCCTTCCTCCGCCATCACCTGGCGCTAGCATCCCCAACACTTGGAAAGATGTCATTCCTATTTTGACACCTGAGTTGGATATCGTCCAGTTGGCTCCCAAGAAGTCAGCAAACGCTCCCGTACGTCCTCCTCTCAGGCCTCAGTTGAACGCGTCGCCCTACCGCTGCCCATCGATGGATGGCTACGGATCGCAAGAGAGCACACCAACTCCATCTCGCTATCAAGTGCCTCGCTTCCTGGAGCCGAAGCCTGATCTTCCCCACACTCCGTCACTGCCATCCCTGGCTCGCTTGGGTCCACTACCAACCCCATCCTTGACCCCGCAATCCATCACCAGCAACACTCCTGCAGCGAGTGCCATGGCTTTCGGATCGCGCCGCCCATCGATGTGCACGGCAATGCAACAGGCACAGTGCTCCTCACTGGCACGCACCTGTGTAGACCAGTTCAACCCAAGCATCAGGAACGGACTGGAAGCTTACCACTTCCCAAGCCGACGACCTTCCCGGGCTCCTTCCAACTCATCTCTATCGTCCTCTCCAGAGTCAATGATCTCGGACAACTCGCGCACTTCTCGTGCTTCATCAATCTCGTCGGTCTCGTCTGCCGGCTGGGCGCCAAACCAAAGCCAGGCCAGCTTGGCTCGGTTGGCGACCTGCCGCAGCGCGAAGCTCCCGTACCCGGTTTTGTCGAAGTGCAAGGAGCAGTACGAGTATGCTCCAAGTGAGCCCATGTCCTCACCCGATCTGGACAGCTTCCATATTGATGATTCGGATTCGTCGCCAGGCAAGGTCGACAGCCCTGCGTGCGTAACTCCCGCAAGCCGCAAGCGTGGAAGGTCTTCAGTTGATCTCCAGCAGAATGTGCGACACTTGCTTCACAGCACTCGCTCCGCATTCGACCTTCGTGGTCAGAAGCCTGTGCTTCCTGATAGATCAGTGTCGCAATCATTCGCCCTCTCGCGCAGTGAACCAAAGGGGCTGCAGTCCCCTAAGAACACTGTTCCTTATTGCTCGCGTCTTCCTATCCAGAAGGACTTTGGCAAGAAAAGGTCGTGCTGCAGCACCGAGGTCGCGCAAGCCTACCGCCCACAAGGCCCAGGCATGTGGGCTGGCATCCTCTAAACATGACAACATCGTCATCACAGTATTGAAAGCCCAAAGAAGGCTAAAGAACAAAGAAAGAGAAGGAAGTATCAACGCAACTATTCACTGTTCTTATTTCACACACACACAGTCACACTCTACATTACCGTGTATATTTTCCTTCACCACCTCCGAACCTACCACGTGTGTATTCTCCTTTGGGCGTCACAACAGATCTCATTTGCTACTTAGCTCCGGTATACCTATTTGGGTTACTTTTGGCGTTTTCAACCTTACTACCAACTGGCGTTTATATCTTTTCAAGGACAGCTCGGTTTGAGCGAAAGGTGGGGGAAATACCTTGATCACAGGCAGGTGCATTAGCATGGGTTCAACAGGATCAGGCGTAGTTTGTGTTCGCACGCACATGCGCCCCTTTAGTCGGGATGGATGTACGTTTACGCTACGGCGACGGTTGACGTGCTGTGGTATGGTTTATATCCAGTGAGTAGGTAGTGAGTAGTAAGCAGATGTTGATGATTCTAAGACTTTCCTCATTGCTTGTGTGTACGTGATGATGTGGTGGTGGAGTTTGCTTTCTATGGTTTCATTTCTTCTGCGCGGCGTGTTCATGCTGACTGCAATGTAGGTATCTTGATGGCTATAACAAAGCTCAACTTAGAAGTCAAGCAATCTTGTATGGCTCACCCCAGCACCGCAAGGTCCTCACTATATCTTTCTGGTATCATTGACATGCACCTCCTTCCCACCCTTCCCCCCGACACTCCCCATCGCCCTAGCAACCGTAACGCTCTCCCTCAACGCCTTCCCCAACACACCCCTCACCCCACCTTCCTCCAACACCATAACCCCCGCAATCGTACAACCCTCCGGACTCGTTCCCATATCCCTCAACTCGCCCGGCTGTATCCCACTCTGAAGCATCTCCGCACTTCCCCTCATACTCTGGTAGATCTGCTCCTGAGCAAGTTTCCGGGGAAGTCCTACGGCTACCGCAGCGTCGATGAGGCTGTCGACAATGATGGCCCAGAATGCGGGTGTGGAGCCTGCTACAGCTGTTGTGGCGGGCATGAGGGCGGGTGGGATGGACATGGGTTTTCCGATTTGTGTGAAGATGGCTGTTGCTATATCTTTGAAATGAGGTGGGAAGGTGGGTGAAGGATGATCTTCAATAGCAGTCAAAGACTGCGAGACAAGCGCCGCCACATTCGGTAGTGTACGTAGAACCCAAGCTCCTCTCGTATCTTGATCCCGAATACCCTCCCAAACCTCCCACTCCGCATCAATGAGTCTTTCAATCGCATCGCGCGTCCAGCCTGCTACTATGCTGATGAGCAGTTTCCCCCGTAATGCCTCTATAATCGCGATATCGCTTAATGTGGCTTCTATTTGGGACGGATCGACGCCCAGGATGATCACATGCGAGCTCTTGATGGCGGAAACGTTGTCGTCTCGCGTGATTTGCACGTTTTCGTACCGCGAGAAGACGAATTTGAGGCGTCTTTCGGAGGATTCGCTTGACACGCAGGCGATGAATTGGGTGATGCCGCAGAAGGAGTCCGGAGGCGCGTTTAGGAGGCTTTGGAGGATCGAGGTGCCGAGATTGCCTAATCGATGGTGGTTCAGAGGTCTTGTTCGAGACATGTCATTGTTCTTCGTGGGGGGCACTTACCGCATCCCAGCATGCATAGTGTTTTGTCTAACATTGTCGCTTGCGAAAGTGTTGTTGCCTGCGGCTTGGGAAACGTCGTTTGTCGTAACTCTGATGTACGACTCCGGATTTTAATACCCTGACCTTTTCAAAAGAGCTTCAAACTCTCCAGCGTACTTGACTAGTGATATCTCTACTCTGCGCATTGGATCTGATGGCTTCGTTTGATGGTTTCGGGAAGGAAGCCGGCCCCCACTCTTTTCCGCGCAGTTGTCAGCGGGGAAAGCCACTACGGAGACCCACATGCGTGCCTACATCTCTTCTGCATCCCAATGAACCCTTGACAAAAATAATAAGCAGACACCGACAGTAGTCACTTATTTACAACAAAGCAGTCGTCATATTTGACTATGACTATGACTACGACACCTAAAACATGACGGATAATTCATGCGCATCCTACGATCATGCATCGTACAAGCCCCGCTACTCTCATACAACTTGACCACTCTTAACTTCCTACGCGTAGTTTCGCAACCCTCTATCACGCCCAGAAGAACCTCCTCCTAACTTCTTTCTTCAATGCGGTAAACTCATCCTTAGTCCTCAACACGGCATCGCGATTCTCCACAGCCCTCCGAAGTAGGTACCCCACACATTCGCCCATACTACCCCAAGTGGTGCATTTCAACACCTCAGGCTTCTTGCCACCTGCCCCCTTCTCCGCTAACAAGGAAAAGCTGACTTCATCTGACATGCCGTGAAGCTGTCCGTAAGCGACGGGAACAGTAGGTAGACCGGCTTCCGAGCGCTGTCGGTGGAGCTTGTGGGCCGAGAGCACGCTTTCGCGGTTGTGAGAAGCGAGGAAGAGGTTTACAGAAGGAAACCGGCGGGCAGATGATCCAGATGCCCCGAAGCTGCCTATTTGCTGACGAAGCGCACCCTGTGCTATCGTATTGTAGGCGTTATCTGTGTCTTCTTTGGTGTCATGGATCAAGGACCGGTTGTCGGAGAGAATGTATGCACCACGCACGAGCTTGAGACCAAGAGTAAACCCATCTCTTTCCGCCTCGGCCATATGGTGTGCGAGGACTGTGGGTGTGTCTTTGAGGTAGGCTTGGTATGTGTTGTAGATGACAGCTTTACCATTGCGGTTGAACTTGCGCATTAGTTCGAGTGTCGTGCGAGCAATGCCTTCTTGCCAGTGCTGAGACTCAGCGTCGATGATGATCTGGACATTGCGTGCTTTACATTGGGTCGCTATCTCATCTAGGGCGTCGAGCATTTGCTGGGGTGGAAGCTCGCCTTTGCTGAATGCTGATGAGACGGCTGGACCACCGCCTGTCGTTCTAGAAGATGTCAGTGATACATTCAGTATGTCATCGTGATTATACCTACTTCAGAGCCAAGATGTCTCCCTCGGAGATGAGATCAAGTGTTCCTAATGTGCCTACCCTCCATGCCTCGATATCTGCATCATGCGCCATGCTAGTCTTTTCATCGACAAAGCTATCCGAGGTATGATGGTTTGCAGACTTGGTCTTGTGATCGAACACCATTTCCTTCGCATATGTCAAGATCACCCCTTTGAACCCTAAATCTTTCAGTTGCTTTACACAAGCTCGTGTCTCTTGTTGTGTTTCTCCGGCGCAGAACTGATTATATAGGGTCCTCTTCAGAATAGCTTTCAATACAGGGTTTCGATCTATATTGAACAACAGGCTTCGATTCGGTTTCGAGAAGAAGGAGAGCAGGTTGAGTGATGGTATCAGAAGGAACTTGTTAGATGATATTGTGGCGACGAAGAGCGAACGGAGCAACATGTGCGTCGGCATTGCTGATAGCGGGTATTGTGTGGGTGACGGTTTTGATATTTGTGTAGCCGAAGCCTTTATCCGTGGCAGTGCAGTTGTAGAGCTGAGACGTGTCTCGAACGTGTTGAAGCCATTGATGAGGCATTTCCTGCTCGCTACTGCTCGCAGTGTTGATCTAGTTAGCCGTTGATGAAGCATCATGAATCCAATATGAGGTGGCGAGACTAAGGAAGCCAGCCAAAGATGGAAGATTGTTTCAAGATAGACGATTGAAGCTGATATGTAGAGTGCTCCTACAACTCTACCTCTTCATCGCCTTCCTTATCTCAAACCGTATCTCTACCATATGATGCACGACCCCGCTCCACGTCTCGAACGTGGGGCATCGCCATGCTCGTGACTATCGCGTCCAGGTCCATAGCTCGGACGTGTAGCCGAATCGCGTGGAAAGTCCGGATGTGGTCGGCACTACCAATAGTATAATGCAAGAGGCGAAGTGATAAGCAGAACGAGACCAATGGTAATTATGACCGAACGCGACATCCCTCTGGAAGTAGGCCAATGCGGGGTTGATTGTCGATGCGGCTTGGATCGGGTTATGCATGACGATGTCGGCGTAATATAAGAGCGAAGCTACCTTTTGAGTATTACGTTTGTGAACACTCGTATACTCCGCCCGTATGGCGCAAGGAGGTATGAATTGTCTCGATACATGATCTCGTTGCAGCGTTGAGAAAACATGTCGGAACAAAGCGCACGTCTTCCACCTAGTCGGGAAAGTACGTTGGCGAAGCGTCTTGACAGAAGAGGAACGAGGCTGGCAAGTGCTCGATAATACTATGCATCCATGTAGCAACTTTCTTATCAAGCTTATCGTTGGCCGTATATGGTGTGCATAGAGCTTCCATATGTAGGACACAGCTTCGTTGCGATGAACAACGGTCGCTGTCGGAATGAGTTCAAGAACTATGTCCCAGACGTATATAGCAAGAAAATCCTGTCTAAGAGTGCTCTTTTGACTACATTCCTGGCATGCGGTCAGAAGATGATATCCAATGTACGAAGAAGGACTTGCTGGAGGCTGTCAATCTGGGATCTATCGATGATCTCGCGACTTCGGTCACAGGAATCACGGCTGTGTTCGGTCATCGTAATGCCAGCAAGTCGACATACCATCCATGCCAGAAGAGGGCATGAAACACGGTTGGGCGATACAAGTCTCGCTTTCGAAGTGTCGGGAGGCCATCCGACCTTGCAGGAAGGGGGAAGACAAGGACCAAACAGCGTGAGCAATTCTGTGGAGACAACCTTATCGATAACACTAGCGTGCACAGGGCAAGTCAGGAGCAAGCATCACAGCACGACGATAACGCTTGCAACATCTGCGGGGGCTGACAATGCATGCGACAGCGGATATAATCCCGTATCGACATTCTGGCGAGACTCTGGTCGATGGCTTCGTGTCATGTATGGACTGGACACTCACGTCGCACGACAGCACCTGTCCTTCCAGGGTCTCATGACATACCGTGACGCTTCAAGGTGTTTATCCTTGCACTCGTACTTCGCATCTTTCCTGGCTTATCACCATGGGCGTTTCTAAAAGCGACGCTATAGCTATCATCGGGGGAGGCGCGTTCGGTCTCTCCACGGCTCTTGAGCTCTCCAGGAAAGGCTACACCAACATCACGGTCTTCGAGAAAGATGACGAGATTCCATCCCGATGGTCTGCTGGCAACGACCTGAACAAGATCATGCGAGCGGAATACGAAGACGATTTCTATACAGATCTGGCCGTGGTATGTAGCTGTCTGCACCCCGAGCGATGCTATGAGGGACTGATCGTTCGAACAATGACTGACATACTAAAAGGAAGCCACCCACGCCTGGCAAACACCCCTCTATGCGCCTTACTTCCACCGAGTGGGCTATCTTAATGTTGTTTCTGGTGCTGCATCCCAAAAAGCAGTGGGAACGCTGCACCGGTTCCAGGCGGCTGCGGAGAAGCACCCGGAGATGAAGCCTTTCTTTCATCACATCTCGGGCCCTCAAGACGTACGTGATGTAGCTGGAGCTTGGCAGTTTACTGGTGACATGCCCGGCTGGAAGGGATACGTGTCCAAATACGACGGCTATGTGCACTCAGCTAATGCGCTGAGAGGGATTTATCGCGAGGCCAGGAGGAATGGCGTTAGATTCTTCTTGGGCGAGAAGGTCGGTGCGATAGAGAAGATTGTATATGAGGGATCGGGCAAGAGCAGGAAGAGCATTGGTGTTCGAACAAAGGCTGCGCAATCCCATGCCGCCAAGTTAGTCATCGTCGCCGTTGGTGCCGCAGCCCACAAGATTGTTCCTAAGGTCAGTGCCGAAGTGTCCGCGAAATCCTGGTCAGTTGCACACGTCCGCCTTACCGATGACGAGACGGCGGCACTTCGCGGTATTCCAGTCACATACGCCCGCGACCTCGGTTTCTTCTTCGAGCCAGACCCAAAGACAAATCTCCTCAAGATTTGCCCGATGGGAGGTGGTTACATCAACACTAACCCAGGCACCGGGATTTCTGAAGCACCGCAAGAGCTTATGCGCTTCGTGCCGAAAGAAGACGAAGAACAGATGCGCGAACTTCTCCGCCAAACACTGCCCTACCTCGCCGATCGACCTCTGGTCGAGAAGTTCATATGCTGGTTTGCAGACACGGCAGACTCGGACTTCATCGTCGACTACGTGCCGAACACTTCCTCTTCTGTTATGATACTGTCGGGTGACTCCGGTCATGGTTTCAAGATGTTACCGATCGTCGGAAGGTGGGTGGATAACCTGCTGAACGCACCCGACGGAAAGCAGAGTATTCTGAGGTGGCGTTGGAGAGTGCCAAAGCAGAAGGCCAAGGGAGAGAGCTTTGACCATGATGTGAGCTGGCGGATAGGAACTGTTAGAGAGATTCGCGATGTGCAACAACAGGAAGCGGTAAAGCCAAAGATGTAGAGAATTCGGCACATGTGCGCCTTCCGCGAAACTCGTCGTTGTCATTGCGCGTGGTTCGTATGGTGGTGATATTAGTCATTAGATGTTAGGATCAATGATCTGGTAGTCGTCCAACGTTGCAAAAGAAAGCCAATCAGTCCCTTCTATGTCTATAGACACTAAACACTAACTTTTTAGAATTCTAGAACCTTAACTTTTTACTAATATTTTTGCACTAATTAATCTATAGTAGTAGTCTCTAACTACTTTAGCTATCTAAATATCTACGCTTATATATAAATAGTTTAGAATAGCTAATATAGCTACGCCTAAGAGTTTACTATACTTAGTGTAGCTTTTCTAAACTTAATAAGATAACTCTAAAAGTCTAGCTTATAAAAATTTACGTACTTTTAATAAGAAATAATAGCGTAAACTTAATTACACTATAGCTTTTATTAGTAAGAGTACACTATTAAGATACTAAGCTATCTTAGACGCTATTTACTAGTAAATTTAAGTAAACTAAAAGGCTACTAAAACTTACTATAATATTATTTAGAACTTAGCTATAGCTATTAATAGCTATTTAGATTATTTTACTAACTCTACCTAGCTCTTTATTACTAAAGAACTCTAGAAATAGATATTAAAAGCTATTTACTTATTATTTAACTCTTTACTAGCTTCTAAAAGTAATACTAAGGCCTCTACTAGCTTATTTTACTACTTTTAGATAAAGATAGTAAAAACTCTAAAAAATTCTATACTTCTATAAAGAGGCGCTGCTAAGATAAAAGTAGTACTAATAGTAAAGCTAGCACTATACTCTATAGTCTATCTACTACTTATAAATAATTATATTCTTATTACTTTTAGGCTAGCTATACATATATAATAAGCTTTTTTATTTACTATATATAAAGCTATTATAGAAGCTATTAGAAATAGAATTACTCTATCTAATATACTCTAAACTAAAACTATAAAAATAGGCTAGGTAATTACGCTCTATAATAAAGATATTAAAGCTTATCTTATAAACTAAAAACTACGTAAACTTATAATTAGAGTAGTTAAGAGTAAAGATACTAGGCTTTTTAAGCGCTAAGTTAACTATATAGTCTAAGGCGTTAATAGCTATTATAGATTAATTTTAGATAGCCTTATTTTTACTTATCTAAATAAAGTTTATAATAAGGTACTCTTATAGACTAGAGTATAATTTATAAGTATTTAACTATTATAGTATAGCTCTTAGAAGAATAGAAGAATTATATAGATTATTTCTTTCTCTACTCTAGTTTGCGCTTTCTATCTATTTAGCTAAAGTAACTATTTAAAGAAAATTTAAAAGAACTTACTTATTTTACTATATAACTCTAGCTATTAAAAGTATTATAAGATTATAAACTATATAAAAGTAGCTTACTATTCTAGATATAGTAAGCTATTAGCTATATATAAAGGCCTAGTTAAAAGCTACTAAAATATACTAAAGTGCTCTAACTACTATAGCTTTTATAAGGCTATCTACTTTAATTATTCTATAGCTTTATTATAAGTAAATAGATAAATAGTACACTTTATAAAAAGAATACTATTAACTATAAAGTAGACTAGTTAATATGTAATATTAGTAGCTACTATAGCTACTATAAATCTACTAATAAGCGCCTCTAAAGAAATACCTATTAACTTTACTAAAAGTAATATACTTAGGCCTCTAGTATAAAGTACTACTATAGTAGCTACTAATAAGAGAGGCTATTCTAAGAGTA